GGGGGACGGAGGGTCTGGTCTGAGTTTTCTTATGTTAGGGGAAAAACACAATCAAGAGCGTAAATTCGCCATAATCCTGAGCCAGAGTACAATACACAGAGAGTCATAAGGAATTATTACATGATTACTCCACCAGTCACTAGAACAGCACAGACACTCAAAAATGGCATATTATTTGCAGAAAATTAATTCCTTATCAAAACATTTCTTTAGACCAATTAGGTGAAATAGGATGATTTTCTACAGCAGTGTTTTTCAACCACTAGTGTGCCGTGAGTGATGGTTAGGTGTGCCGTAGAAAATCATCCTATTATTGGTAATAATAATAATAATAGTAATAATATGCCATTTTTGAGTGTCTGTGCTGTACTAGTGACTGGTGGCGTAATCATGTAATAATTCCTTATGACTAGATTTTGTACATAATTTTGCATATTGAAATGGACATGTTAAGAGCAATTTGAAAGAAGAAATATAAAATGTGATAAAAATACATTTTTGTGTTTATTTGATTCCTATTCAAGACACTTAAGATAAGATAAGAATAAAAAAAGAATAACTATAGTGTTACTATAGGCGGCTACAGATTTGTTTTAACATTTTTGGTTGGTGTGCCTGGAGATTTTTTCAATGAAAAACTGTACCTTGGCTCAAAAAAAGGTTGAAAAACACTGGTCTACAGCACACTAGTGGTTGAAAAACTCTGCTTTACAACACACGGGGAGCATGACGCGGGCGGGAGTACAGTTGCAGCAACAGTGTGTGCTCTCACATGTTCCCAGCAGACGGACTGGAGCCGCCGGGAGCATGTCTGTGAACCTGGAGGGGAACGTTTTAGTGACCGGGGCCAATAGGGGCATCGGCCTGGAGCTGGTCAGGCAGCTGCTGGACAGGAGAACGGGAAAGGGGGTTCACGTGTACGCCTGCTGCCGGGAGCCCCGAGGAGTCCGCGCCGAGGTGAGTGAGAGTCAGATTCCTCTCATAGTTTTCCAGATCCACGGGA